TGTGCCCAAGAACGTATTAAAATTCTTACTTATTAGTTCCACTGTCACGTGCAGGTGCATAAGCAACACACACACATGTAGATACAAATGAGTATATACATGTACATACATGCATACATGATCTGATATCCTGCTCGGGCAAGGTGTACAGTCAGAAAAACTAAGTATCGTTCCCCTTTGCACAAACTAATATGAAAACTCGACGAAGTTGTGTGGAATAGCGTGGCAAGGTAGTTAGCCCCTTAATCCGGTGTTGCAGAAAGAAGCACTCAGCTCCTCCCTGACCACAAGCAAAGGTACTGATAGTTTTTTTTTTCTGATTGTACTTTGGCCGACACAGGATTCTGGCACCAGCCGGACGCCATCCTTTCATTTTTATCCTTGATTTTTGTGTTTTCTTGTTTGTTTTAGTTTGTCCGTTTTGGTACGTTTTCTTTGGTACTTGTTTAACATTAGTTTGCTTACTTTTTACTTTTTAAATGCAGTTCTTTGTCGACATTCCTAGTTCGAATTATCTCTCCATTTCCTTGTTTTATTTAATTCTATATATATTGATATTCTGATTAGGGTAATCACTCTTATAACATCATTTTATGATCGACGCCCCCGGGAGGTACAAAAAATAAAATTAAGTCTGAGGCATCTTTGTCTTGCATATAGGAGCTGGATCTGATACTTGCGATAATTGTTTTTGGTTATAATTTTTTTTCTTTTTAATTCTTTTTTATTTAGGTTTTAGGGTTTCGGGTTTGGTTTATTTGTTTTTTAAAAGTTTTTAATTTTCAGTGTTGTTTTGGCTCATTTTAGTTTTGAATTCATTTTAACGTAATTCTTAGAGATTATTTTAACTTTAGTTTTCATGACTTTTGTTGCGAATTTATTGTCCGTATGAATATATATTTATGATACATATATTTAGATAGATATGAAGCAGAAACAATACAAAACTCTCTTCTTCCTCGACCTCTGTTTACAGATCTCGGCCATGATCATCCACGTGCGAGACACAGACGGGACCATGAGTTCTGTTGAAGCACAACCGACGGACACAATCCACACGCTCAGGGTGAAGATAATGTTAGCAGGCATACCCCTAAGTGCCTATCGGGAACTCGCGTTTAACGGGGAGCGTTTATGGGACAGCAAAGCAACGGTCTCCAGCTACGGCATCGGGGACGAAGACTGTGTGGATGTCAAAAGTGTTTTTGTGGCCCAAGCTATGACTGGGTTTTACGTTAACGTTGTCCAGCCGGAAGGGGAGGTTATCAGGGTAGTGGCGGACGAAGCGGTGCCCGTGATACAGATCAAGCACGAAGTGGCACGGGTAGCGGGCGTGGAGGCGAGGAAGCAGCAGCTGAAGGCGGGCAGCGAAGACATGAAGGACGAGAAGATGCTGAGAGACTATGGCATCACCGAGGATGCTGTTGTGTGGATGGAGATCGAGGGCGAGGCTGGAGACAGGAGAGAGAAAAGAAAAGAAGGGGAAGGAGCAGGGGACGACAGCCTTAAGAATGTGTTGCTGTTCGTTTCGCTTCTGGTGTTAGTTCCTCTCAGTTTGTGGCTGGCCTATAAACGTGGGAGTAAAAATAAGTAATGCAGTATGTAATCCTTCAGTTATCATTGTTAATATTAATGAGGATGAGTTTGAAAGCAACTAAGAAATCCTGATAAACATTCTTCCTTTCATTTGTGGCAAACCAGGAGCACACCCACATCTAGCTGTTCTTTCGTTTCTTGACACAATTGCAAGCCAGAAGGCAATGCTTCTGCGAGGACCATGCGTACCTAAGTAGTACTAGACCTTGGGCCAAGGTCCTGTCGCCGCGTGACGTGGGTGCACACGGAACGAGCAGACTTTCGCGCGCGTGTGAGTCACGTTTCGGGTGGAGTGGAGGGTGTGGCTCACAGATGTAAGTAGGCAAGCGAGCAACAAGCTTTGTGATTCTTAAACCAAATACAAGAAAGAATTGTGCCAATTATTTTATTATCCCATAAAAGTCAGATTGTCTTTTCAAAGCGTTTCATACTTAGAATATTTTCGTTTTGACCCTCTTCCCTCCTTTTAAGCAAGCTGCCTTTAGGCGAACCTGTCATTCCACTCATGCTCTCAATAGATTCACTGAATATTTAGCTGTTGGTATTCTTCAATACATTCAGTTTGTTTTATTTTTCTTTTATCCATTTTTGTTTGCAGTATTGTTAAGGATGTTTCTTGTTGGGGCAACATTTTAGGAAAAACATTAACGAAATGTTGGACCGTATGCCCAAGAACACAGAATTATTAGTACTTTTTCCCGCAGGAGCGTAAGCAACACACAGATATGTGGAATAAAGTTTGAACAATTTGTCCTTACCCTTGCTGTTCAAGGCGCATTTATATGTAAGTATATACTTTATATATATATATATATATATATATATATATATATATTATATATATATATGAAATCTTACTTTGGAATATATGTATATATATTTACATATATATGTAGATACATATGTTGATGTTACACATTTATATATAAACATATATATTGATATTATGAATATAAGCATACACATAAATGTATATGTATGCATATATTCATATATATTTGTATATCAATAGATATACACACAAAGAGCTCGGCTAATGCACTGGGCAAGACAGAGCAGCATCCAGTCATGCCAGAGCGTAAGAGGTCAAGCTCCGGATTGACCTCCCGGAGAAGACCTCGTCAGGACGAAGCTGCTGGCAGAATGGGCGGAGGTGTTGGTCAAAGCTTACGTTAGCGAAACTGATAACGAGGCTTTAACACACTTGAGGTCATGAATATTATGCAGCACCGTATGAATATATATTTATAATGCATATATTTAGATAGATATGAAGCAGAAACAATACAAAACTCTCATCTTCCTCGACCTCTGTTTACAGATCTCGGCCATGATCATCCACGTGCGAGACACAGACGGGACCATGAGTTCTGTTGAAGCACAACCGACGGACACAATCCACACGCTCAGGGTGAAGACAATGTTAGAAGGCATACCCCTAAGTGACTATCGGGCACTCGCGTTTAACGGTGAAATTTTGTGGGACAGCAAAGCAACGGTCTCCAGCTACGGCATCGGGGACGAAGACTGTGTGGATGTCGAATTTGATACGGTGTGCGAAGCTATGACTGGGTTTTACGTTAACGTTGTCCAGCCGGAAGGGGAGGTTATCAGGCTAGTGGCGGACGAAGCGGTGCCCGTGATACAGATCAAGCACGAAGTGGCACGGGTAGCAGGCGTGGAGGCGAGGAAGCAGCAGCTGAAGGCGGGCAGCGAAGACATGAAGGACGAGAAGATGCTGAGAGACTATGGCATCACCGAGGATGCTGTTGTGTGGATGGAGATCGAGGGCGAGGCTGGAGACAGGAGAGAGAAAAGAAAAGAAGGGGAAGGAGCAGGGGACGACAGCCTTAAGAATGTGTTGCTGTTCGTTTCGCTTCTGGTGTTAGTTCCTCTCAGTTTGTGGCTGGCCTATAAACGTGGGAGTAAAAATAAGTAATGCAGTATGTAATCCTTCAGTTATCATTGTTAATATTAATGAGGATGAGTTTGAAAGCAACTAAGAAATCCTGATAAACATTCTTCCTTTCATTTGTGGCAAACCAGGAGCACACCCACATCTAGCTGTTCTTTCGTTTCTTGACACAATTGCAAGCCAGAAGGCAATGCTTCTGCGAGGACCATGCGTACCTAAGTAGTACTAGACCTTGGGCCAAGGTCCTGTCGCCGCGTGACGTGGGTGCACACGGAACGAGCAGACTTTCGCGCGCGTGTGAGTCACGTTTCGGGTGGAGTGGAGGGTGTGGCTCACAGATGTAAGTAGGCAAGCGAGCAACAAGCTTTGTGATTCTTAAACCAAATACAAGAAAGAATTGTGCCAATTATTTTATTACCCATAAAAGTCAGATTGTCTTTTCAAAGCGTTTCATACTTAGAATATTTTCGTTTTGACCCTCTTCCCTCCTTTTAAGCAAGCTGCCTTTAGGCGAACCTGTCATTCCACTCATGCTCTCAATAGATTCACTGAATATTTAGCTGTTGGTATTCTTCAATACATTCAGTTTGTTTTATTTTTCTTTTATCCATTTTTGTTTGCAGTATTGTTAAGGATGTTTCTTGTTGGGGCAACATTTTAGGAAAAACATTAACGAAATGTTGGACCGTATGCCCAAGAACACAGAATTATTAGTACTTTTTCCCGCAGGAGCGTAAGCAACACACAGATATGTGGAATAAAGTTTGAACAATTTGTCCTTACCCTTGCTGTTCAAGGCGCATTTATATGTAAGTATGTACTTTATATATATATATATATATATATATATATATATTATATATATATATATATGTATGTATATATATGTAGGTTTATATTCTCTGGGATGAACGGGTATACCTGAAAGTCTTACTTTGGAATATATGTATATACATATACATGTAGATACATATGTTGATATTACACATATATATGTAAATATATATATTGATATTATGAATATATGTATACACATAAACAAATGTATATGTATTCATATATTCATATATATTTGTATATCAATAGATATACACACAAAGAGCTCGGCTAATGCCCTGGGCAAGACAGAGCAGCATCCAGTCATGCCAGAGCGTAAGAGGTCAAGCTCCGGATTGACCTCCCGGAGAAGACCTCGTCAGGACGAAGCTGCTGGCAGAATGGGCGGAGGTGTTGGTCAAAGCTTACGTTAGCGAAACTGATAACGAGGCTTTAACGCATTTTCTCATGTGTGGTGAACGTTCAGCGCAAGTTCATAAACGGCTATGATGGTTCCCAGACCCCCTGTCGCACTCAGTGATAAGTGACAAGGGCCAAACCTCAGATAATGCAGTATTACAAACACAAACACACGCATGCACGCACGCAAGCAAACACACATATATTTATATATGAATTATTATTTTACATATATGTATATATATGCAGATGGATATATATCTATATATGGTAGATATATATATAGTAGATATAGATATATATAGTAGATATAGATATATATATAGCAGATATAATAGAGGAATAGACATGATTGTCATTATCCTTGTCATTATTAATGTTACCAACATTATTGTCCTTATGATTATTAGAATATGCTTAGTGATGCTCAGAGTTGGCCCAAGTAGGTGAAGGGGACGATTAAGCCTTGGGAAGATGCGGTTGGGATTTGTAATGTTACGAGTGTTAAAAACTCTCTTGGCATTTACGTTAAGGAACCGCCAATGCCAGAGGTATAATGCACATTCAAAATGTAATTATATATATGTATAAACTGTAAGCACCTATGAAGTCAAGTATTTAGGATATGTTCAGTAGCGATTGAACTTAATCTGAATACATGGTTAAAAAAACAAAATACATAACGCCATGCATTGTCATGACTTTTGGCAAAATTTTATTTTATGAAAATGCTTATGTGTGTATACTTACTTGAAGCCCTACAATTGTATATGTTTAAATTCCTCACAGTTCATGATATGACACCAGTGCTTGACAATGCATGAGCCCATCCAGCACATATGCTACTTGTTTGAAAAATAAAAATATAGATTATTGATTTTTTTGTCCTAAACAAGCATGCCAAAGGCCAAGGAAATCTATTAAAATTTGAATTCTTCACTGTCTCTCTACATATTTGTCCATTTTCAATAGCTTACTTTTCACATGCCATATGTTCTGATCAAGGTCTATATAAGATCTTTACTTGTATAGACATTGGTTCTGGTAAGGGGTGGTTACGCGAGTACTTTATCACCAGCAAATGCCTGAAAGTATGCATAGTCTTGAATGCACACGGATTCCCATGTCCAAAGGCTGGTTTTCAGCACACAGTCAGCACTGTTTGGGCAAAATTTATTGGGAAGGCATCTTTCAAGACATATGTGTATCGTGTCCATTATTACTATTATTTTTAAAATATTTTTTATATTTTACTATTATTTTTACATTGTAAATGTCTTTTCAGATAGATTATCTCTTTGAAACTTGATTTTGTATTTTAGCGCGAGTTTGAAAGCATAAGCACTCGTATCATTTCTTGCTAAGCAGGAGCACACCCATATTTGCATGGTTCTTAGGTTTCGACACATATTTGCGAATTAGTAGTCAAGAATTCTACGAGAAGGACCATGCTTCCTCCAAAAATGCTATTCATGTTTGCTCAACGAAATGATACCCTTGGGTCATGGTCATATTGGCGTGTGTATATATATATAATTATGTATTTATGTATAAATATATATGTACACAAAAACATACACATTGTCGTGGGTAAGACTGCAACCGGTCTTACCAGTACATAAAAAGCCAAAAAGGGCCACACTTGAGGTCATGAATATTATGCAGCACCGTATGAATATATATTTATAATGCATATATTTAGATAGATATGAAGCAGAAACAATACAAAACTCTCATCTTCCTCGACCTCTGTTTACAGATCTCGGCCATGATCATCCACGTGCGAGACACAGACGGGACCATGAGTTCTGTTGAAGCACAACCGACGGACACAATCCACACGCTCAGGGTGAAGATAATGTTAGCAGGCATACCCCTAAGTGACTATCGGGCACTCGCGTTTAACGGTGAAATTTTGTGGGACAGCAAAGCAACGATCTCCAGCTACGGCATTAGGAACGAAGACTGTGTGGATGTCGAATTTGTCACGGTGTACGAAGCTATGACTGGGTTTTACGTTAACGTTGTCCAGCCGAATGGGAAGGTTATCAGGGTAGTGGCGGACGAAGCGGTGCCCGTGATACAGATCAAGCACGAAGTGGCACGGGTAGCGGGCGTGAAGGCGAGGAAGCAGCAGCTGAAGGCGGGCAGCGAAGACATGAAGGACGAGAAGATGCTGAGAGACTATGGCATCACTAAAGAGGCTGTTGTGTGGATGGAGATCGAGGGCGAGGCTAGGAGACAGGAGAGAGAAAAGAAAAGAAGGGGAAGGAGCAGGGGACGACAGCCTGAAGAATGTGTTGCTGTTCGTTTCGCTTCTGGTGTTAGTTCCTCTCAGTTTGTGGCTGGCCTATAAATGTGGGAATAAAAATAAGTAATGCAGTATGTAATCCTTCAGTTATCATTGTTAATATTAATGAGGATGAGTTTGAAAGCAACTAAGAAATCCTGATAAACATTCTTCCTTTCATTTGTGGCAAACCAGGAGCACACCCACATCTAGCTGTTCTTTCGTTTCTTGACACATTTGCAAAACAGAAGGCAATGCTTCTGCGAGGACCATGCGTACCTAAGTAGTACTAACTAAGCTTGCTCACTGAACTGATGCCCTTAGCACACGGAGCAGACTTTCGACTTTCAAGAGTTGTTGGTGATGAAAAGGGCCGTGTGAACGCGACCTAAGACGGCGTCATGCTCGATCATATTAAATAGTAGTTTCTTTGGCTCTACGGAAACGGACGGAGAAACGTACTAGGGCACTCACCTGACTGAAGAGAAGAGAACAAGAGAGTACATGTTCGACTCATGTTTAGGGTGGAGGTGGTGGGGGGGGGCGTGGCTCACAAAGGTAAACAGACAAGCGAGCAACAAGTTATCTTGTATTTCTTAAAACAATAAATACAAGAAAGAATTATGCCAATTATTTTATCATACATATAATTCAAATTGTCTTTTCAGAGGGTTTCATGCTAAAAATAGATCTTGTTCTGCATCGCTACAGTGATTACCAATTATGATCTGAAAAGAGAAAGAGATTGAGAGAGTGAGCGAGAGAGAGAGGGTGGGAGTGATAAAATACAAAGAGAAATTGGAGACAATGAAGCTACCAGGATCATTCTGGGTGCCCCGAGGTGCACGAAGGTCCTCAACCTCCTGATGGAGGCAAACCTTCATGTCCTCCCCCCACGCGGACTTTATCGAAGCCCCGCCGTGGGTACAAACCTTGATAGAGTTCTCTGTTACGAGCCTGTCAATGAGAAAGAATACCCCATGCCTAGTCTAGAGTCAGAAGCCGAGAGGGACATTGCAGCCATCACTCCTCCGGGTAGAACATACTTCACGAATGAATCAGTCGATCCCTTGAGCCACACTGCAGGCGCTGGCTTTGCAGCAAGAGATGCCACAAAATCCATGAGGGTAACAGACCATACCTCCTCGCTACAGGCAGAGGCAGTTGCAATCATGGGAGCCCACAGGGTATGCCCCCAAATCCCATGATCATACAACCAATCCAAAAAATCCAAAAGGAGAAGTGTACTGCGGCCGCTCGTACCTTCCTCCTGCAGCTTCACAGAGAGGAATCGAGATCCTCCCCCTCGGTCAGATGGTACTCGGATGCCACAGGCTATGAACCACTGGCACTCTCTGAAGTAATCAACAGATGTACCGAAGTCATTCTTCACAGAATGCGCCTAGGTTTCCACTGTGCAAGGCAGATCATAGAGACAATAGACCGGGAAGAGAGGTGTTGCATGTTGTGGCGAGCCGAACACCAGCCTCGTACACTACTTACACACAATTCCTGAGGCAGGGACCGCCCACAACAGCCGCCGTGCTGGTAAAGGGATTATGCAGTATGCTTACATTATGGCGGCAGGAGCACCTGCTGGTAATCCCACCACCACGGTAAGCGCCGAGTGTCAGAGAACAAAATGAGCCATAAAAAGCTGACACAGGCCGGGCCATATATGGACGTCCTGGGTGAAGCTATCTATCTCCAAGCAAACATCTGAATATGAGCCTCCGGACTTATACAGTGGTAACGTGTCGGCCTCTCATCCGAGGGGTCGGCGGTTCACGCCCTGTCCAGGCACGGAAAGTTGCAATTGTCGCCTGGAGGTTACTGCTGTGGCTGGGCACTACGGCGGATAAGGACTAAGCTCACACTTTAGCGAGTCGGCATTAGTCGACAGAGGCCGGGCACCCCTCATGGGCACGGGCTCAAGGGCTTAGCTTCTCATATCATCTAATCTCCGAATATAAAGCTTATCGAGTGAGCATATCAGTCCGCATGTCACCAAAACATCGCACTCACAAACCTGACTGAGCGGCAGCTAGGAGGTTCACTCGGTTCGCTCCTCCGTCGTGGGCGGTTCGTCTTGAAGTCTCGCGGGGCAAGAAAGGAAGTTCCAGCACGCCATATAGCGCCTGCAGGTTAGTAGTTTTCAGTTGTCGACTTCTTGTTCTCTCTCGCTCTTGCGTCTGTAAATCCCCGCCCACCCACCCATTATTTTTATCTTTTGCTCATTCTTCTAAGTTCTCCCCCCCCTCCCTCAAGATTTTTATGTCTTTCTTTATCTTATTATCTCCCCCAGATGCCCTTCCCCCATGTGTCTGTGATCCCCCCCCTCCACACCATAATTTTCATCTCTCTTGCTCTTTTTTTCTCTCCCCTTCTTTCTCTTTTTTACTTATTTATCTTTTAGTATTATTATTATATTTAGCAGGATAGGGAAGTTGGGAAACCTTGTAGGAAAAAAACAGTTAAAGTTTCGGGAAGAGAAGGTTGGGAAATGTTAAAAGTAATAGGGAAAACCTACTTATTGTTGTTGTTTTTTTAACTTCCGTGTTGTTGTTTAGTTACTGGGGGTCACGGATGCACAGGGCGCGGAGGAATAGCGAGGTGGCAGCACCTCTCTTTACATGGAGAGGATGGTATGAGAAGTGTATGTACATACCACTACGCATAGGCTTCCTATATATGGAGAAGGAGAAGTGTCCAGCAGAGCGATGAACTAGGGTGTCCAAGAAGATGAGCTTGTTGTCAACCTCCCATTCCACCTTAAAACGGATGAAAGGAGAGAGAGAGTTCAGCTGCGTCAAGAAATCCAAGAACAGGGCAGGGTCATGAGGCCAGAGAGCAAAGACATCGTCAACATACCTCAGCCAAACCGACGGACGGAGGAACATGGAAGGGAGAAGCTCAGACACAAAGAATTCCATGAACAGGTTTGCCAAGACCGGAGAGAGGGGAGAGCCCATGGCAACACCGAATGTCTGAGAGAGGAAGCGACCCTCAAAGGAAAAGGAATTCGACTCCGCACACAGACGAATCAGCTGGAGGAAGACGTCGGTGGGCAGAGGGAGATGAGAAGCCTCTGCGGGAAGCCTCCTCTGAAGGAAAGCGAGGACGTCATCAAGCGAACAGGGAGTGAACAGGAAGTCGACATCCAAACTCATCATGGTCGCCGGCGGGACTCCACGGACACGGGAGGTAAAGTCCTGAGAGTGGCGGAGGTGAGCAGGAGAGAAGGTGCCGAGAAGGGGAGTGAGCCAGGTCGCAAGAGGGTGCGTCACAGATCCCTTGGAATAGGTGATGGGGCGCAAAGACACGGCCGGCTTATGGGTTTTAGGAAGCTCATAGAAATGAGGGAGTCGAGAGTTGATGAACCTGAACCTCTGATAGAGATTCGCCTCCGGAAAACAGACTGCTATCTCCTTCAGGCGACGGTGGAAAGTAGCAGCAATGTGTTCACGGGAGTCACTGGTCAGGGTGCATAGGTAGAAGCGCCATCCAACAGGTCCCGTGCCTTCTGCAGGTAGGGGGCACGGTCAAGGACCACTTGTTGCACTTGTCAGAGGGTAAAATGTTGACATCCTCTCCGTGCAGGCTTTGGAGAACCTCACGGTAACGCCTGGGGATGGAAGTGTTTGGATGGAGGAGAGACTCGAAGGCCGGGATGAAGGCACCACGAAGGAGAGAGACATCGGGCAAGAAGTTCCTATGAGAAGAGATGAAACGGTCAAAGGATGAATAATGCCGACGGAGGTAAGGGGTGAGGGCGGAGAGCAGAGGAAAGACCGAAGCCAAGGAGTTGTTGCTGGTGGGCGGTCAAGGACAGGGAAGATAGGCTGGTGACAGCGTCAGTGGCCAGGGACTGCGGGCGGTGAGGCTGGAGAGTTTCCGGGAGAGAGAACGGCCGTGGTTGTGGAAAGGGACCGTCGAGCAGCGTCGGCAATGAGCTGGAAGACATGTCTGCGGAGCCGCTCTTTCAGGAAGTCCGAGCGTACTCGTGAACGATAGAAGGCAAGCATATATATATGCGCACACACACACACACACACACACACACACACACACACACACATACATATGAAGGTATATATGCATGTATAAACACACATTTATATGCATATATATATAAATATATGCACATATATGGATATATATATATATATATATATATATATATATATATATATATATATATATATATATGAATATATATATATATGAATATATATATATATATATGAATATATATATATATACATATACACATAAATACTGTGGAATGTAACATTCACCTAGAGGGGGCGTGGCACAGTTGTTACTCCACATACACACCTGTACGTATCTGTATCACTTGCGCATGATTTCTATCCCGTTTTCTTTTACTTTTTCGCTTTTATTTCTATTAATTGTATTTGTTTGTTTTATTGTTTCAGGTCTGATTTGATCTGATTTCATTTTGTATTATTTTAAGGTCCTATTTTACGGTTACCTATATTTTTTAACTTCTCAGTTCGTGACGTGACACTGCACATTTGAATATTCACTGTTTTATATATTTTTTTTTAAATTAAAGATTTTATATTTTAGTAATGATCTATTTTTATCATCTTATTATATTACTGAATATTTTTCAAATTCACGGATCTTAATTTTACTGTTTTATGATTTTAGTATGTTTTAGTTTATTCATAAACTCTTTTAATTCAAGTTTTTATGGCTTTTTATTAATGATTTTGATATTTTTATGTATGAATAATTTCAATGACACTATTTATTTGATTTGATTCCGTTAGTTTTTATTAAGAAAAGCGATTCAGTATGTTGTGACGTCATGAGTCTACACCAAAGATTGTACTGGCTCTCGTAAGCATAATTGAAGGCAATTGATATCATATTTTAAATAGATGAAGCTCAAATAACTTAAAACCTAAATCCAGTGATGCTCATTTTAAATACTAGTTCTTTTTTCTTTTGATTTCATCTTCCTTAGTTTTTTAACAGTGGATCAAGGGTTTGCCTTTTATTTACGGTTATTTTTACTGAACATTTACTTTTCTTACCCATACTTTTACTGATCTTTTTTACTGATTCTTTTACTTTACCTTTACCATACTTATATTGAGCTATCGGTCTCTTACTTTTACTTTTCCTCTTCGTTATTTTCACCCTTGTTCCCGCCTGTTTCTATCACACGCTTCTGTGCCTACCGCTACCACTACAACTGCTCTTGCTCATGCTACCACTACAACTGCTCTTGCTCGTGCTACCACT